AGAAAATTTGAAATAATCTATATGATTAAAACATTGTGTTATATAATATTATTATGTTTGAAAAATATTTACTATAAATATCGTAAATATGTGATTACTATGATATATACCAATTTACAAGTGAAAACAAAATGTTTATATAACTACTTATACACAGAAAACAAATACCTGCGCGGTTGCGCGGGTCAAAATCTAGTCTACTCTATTAAAATAAAATCACTATTTTTATCTACTACAATAAAGTCATATAGGACCATTTCATTAATTAATTAGTATGACATATTAAATTATTTAGGTTAATCAATCAAATATATATCATATATGCTGAAAATAATAGATTTACATTTTACTTTTAGATATAACAGAATCGGTTGAGAGAAAATCTAACAAAATCTTACTAAAAGTTTAAATATTTTTTATTAAATAACATAATAATGAATTTCGTAATTAATAATATCATACTATTATACATTAATATTAATTAAAATTTCACTATAATAACAAAAAAATGAATCCTATACTATTTTAAAATTTTCATATTATAGTTTATGTTATATTAAAATAGAATTGCACTACGAATTAAATAAAATTAATAAAGTTGGTAAATGAAACTTTATTTTAAAATTTATTTCACTTAAATAAAAAAAAATTATTCACCAATAAAGGATTAACATCATAAATTATGTATATTTTTTTATACAAAAATGTTAGTGTTAAATTTTTACTATATCTTATTTTTACTTAATTTAAAACTAACAAAAAAATATTATCTAAAATGATTATATAAAAAGTATTATAGTATATAAATAAGGGAATTTGCCTAATCTAACACTTTCTTTGTACCCCTTTTCATTTATACCTTAATCACTTTTAGCATTAAAATTTTAAAAGATAAAATACCATTGTACCCCTCGATTTATTTTCTCCTCCAAATCTCTGTCACGAAATCAAATTAAAGTTGAGACCAGCTCCGATGAGATCTCCGGTGAACTCGCCATCTCAAACTCGGCCATCTCCAGAGAACTCCTGGGAACTCGATGAGAAACCAAGAAGTCTACAAAAACCCACTCGATTCTCTTCTAACGCGCCATCTTCTTTCTCTGTTTGAGCTTTTATCGGATTCGATTAGAAGATTTTCGAATTGTATCAAACTGAAGACCTTTCCGGAAAAGGTTAGATCTTGACGTATGTGTATAAGTTGAAGAATTGCCTTTGCTTCTATGGTTTGATAATGAGTTTTGGCTGCAAAAAGCAATCAACCATATCTAAGCTCGTGGGTTCCTCTGACTATTGAGTTGGTCATTTGATGTAGATGATAAGATTGTTTTCTTAGCACCAGTTAGCTGCATCACTGGCCTTCATCACTGGCCTTTAAACTAGGGGGAAAAAGAAAAAGGAAAAACCCTATTTTCTGTGTTTGATTTTCCTGTTTAACTAGATTTTCTCTCTAAGTATACATTTTCAAGTCATGTGTTTAATAGTGATTATCACTGGTAATCCCGTATCTTTTCTGAATATCATATGCAGCGTTGTTATTTTTTCTTTCTTTAGGTTAGGTCATTATGCGAGAAAGCCAAGGAGATCTTAATGGATGAAAGCAACGTTCAGGTTAGTTCTTGGTCTTGCATATCTCTCAATGTGGTAGACTCTACTAGCTACTAGCCATAAATTTATTCGTTTTTAACTTTTTCTTGCAATGCAGCCTGTGAAAAGCCCTGCGGCGATATTCATGGTCTGGACAGTTCCATGATCTTGCTGAGCCTTTCCGCATTGGTGGAATGGTGATATCTATAAAACTTACTGAGAATCACACTGGATGCTCTATGTTCGTTATGCAATTTTGTCTATTAGTTACCCTTTTCGTCCATTTGCCTCTGGTGTGGACTTTTGTTTATCAAATGTATAATTAGTTCTACAAAGCTTACGAGTATTCATTTCCCTCTCTTTTGCAGTGTCCTGACACCAATTAATTGTTTATGGGAGATTATAATGTTGATTGTGGTTATTATTCAGTTGAAACTGTTACGGTACGAGGAGTATCTAAGAATTCATTAAGAGTAGTATTAAACCATGGACAGAACATGAAGTATGTTGAAGGTTACATGTATGACATATCTGACTAATAAACTTTTAGAAATGATTAATAAACTCTTATAAATTATTTATAAACTCTTATAAATTGTGTTATGTAGATTATTAAACTCATATTTTTTTTGTATAAACACTTGTAAGTAGATTTATAACCCTTATGAATAGGTTTATAATTTATTTATAAATTCTTATAAATGGTTTCACTGCTGAGAACAAAATAGTTTTGTAATTCTATATAAATTGTTGATAAATAGTTTTGTAAATCAAAGAGAATGAAGATTTAGTGTATTGGGCTGTTGATTTGTCTTCTGAACAAGAACACGGCGTCGTTTTGGAGTTGGGAAGTAAGAAGCTCTGTTTCGTTGAGGTTAGGACATTAATGGTGGCTGCTGATTGGGAGGATGAACGAGCTATGGATGAGTTAGCTATTGAAGGACATGTATGTTGTTAGCTTAAGCTTCTTTAAAGTCTCTTACTTTATATACGTAACTATGACTATGTGTTATTATTATATAATGACAGGCGAGAGCATTGCTTGAGTGGCATAAAGTGTCACGCTTTTGTGGAGCTTGTGGAGGTTTAACTGTTCCAAAGGAAGCTGAGAGAAGAAAACAATGCTCAAACGAGGCTTGTGGAAAGAGGGTTTATCCCCGGGTTGACCCGGTGGTTATAATGTTGGTTATTGATCGAGAGAATGATCGTGCGCTTTTGAGTAGACAAGCTAGGTTTGTGCCGAGAATGTGGAGTTGTTTAGCTGGATTTATTGAGGTATGATAGATACACTGCTAAGCCATCTCTGTTGTATGTTATTATTGTTATATATGATGATTCTGCTAGCCAGGGGAAAGCTTAGAAGAGGTTGTGAGGCGAGAGACATGGGAAGAGACTGGGATTGAAGTAGGAGAAATAGTCTATCACAGCTCTCAACCTTGGCCTGGTACCAGTTGTTGGTGTAGAGTTTCTTGAACTATTGACACTACTGCAACATTTAGTAGCTTATGGACTTTTGTTTCTAATGACAAAAGTGCTTTGGAAATGAGGCTATACTTGTCTTGAAATGAGGCTATATCAATGGTGGTTTTGGATGGGATTAACTTTGAGAGTTTCCGTGAAGATTTGGTAAGTGTTTGTGCTACTGATGTTAAAGAGCTTGTGCTCCTGAAATTTCGCAAAACCTTGTGGTTTAAGGAATAGATGTGTACTGGAGCTCTATGTGTTGTCGCGTAAGTGATCCTCGCCTCTGTAATTTTTGTTTGCTTAGATTGTTAATTACAGTATTTGGCATCGTAAGGTCACAGAGAAAGAGTACCAAGAGAAGTCTACTTTTGCACATTGTTTACTCCAAACGCAAGGTTTGATGTCTCTGGACTAGCTCCAGCTTCTGAGTATTGCTTCAAGGTTGTGTCCTTTAGCGGAACACGAGAACTTGGAGTCGATGTGATCAATGTAATGACTCGTAGCCCTGAAGAAAGAAGCGAAAGCCTCTCACAAATTGTAGCACATTGTCTTCTAACCCTTCTTCTGTTGAAGCTGAGTCCAGTGCTCCTCAGACCTACAAACCTGGGGAAAATACTGCAAAAAGAACAATGGAGGCAGAGATTCTGAAGACTGAGAAGAACGCTGAGACTGTTGGGTATAAGGAAACCAAATCGTCCCTGCTGTTTTTTTTCCTGTTTTGGATGGCTTGGAAATGAAGCAACTTGTGGATTTGTTCTGTTTTGTAACAATATTATATACTATACATAATGAAGGTAAATGTCTCTCTCCAATCCAGAAGCGATGACACTTGCCAGTTTGTGTACCTGGACCCAAGCGTCTACAAGGAGATGAGAAAGAGGAGGTTGACATTTACTGCAGTAACTTGCATGACCCCGAGAGCTGTTGTGTTCATATTGCGTGTCTCAATAGGCATAGAGTGTTTATTCGAAGACGTTTGTTACAGAAAACGTCATGGTCCTAAGCATCCAGTGGTCTATCTGTATAAGGAAAGAGAAGTTCACTTCCCCCTTGTTTCAACGTCAAGTTACAAAACTAAACGAGAAGTGCAATAATAATTGTTAACATCAGTGATCTTACCAGTAGTCCTTACAAGAACAAGAGCCGTTTGTAAAACAATGAAACCTGCTGTTATCTCTAACAACAATAAAAATCTATACTATTATTTAAGAAGTAAATTTTCTTAGTTGTCATGTTCTCCATAGGTTTAGGTAATTTATTTATTTATCATATTTTTAATAGTTATATATATCTTATTTATAAATAAAACAAATCTTCTATACTATTATTTAAGAAGCAAATTTGCTTAGTTGTTATGTTCTCCACAAGTTTAGGTAATTTTATTTATTTATCATATTTTAATATTTATATATATATTATTTGTAAATAAAACAAATTTATATGAATTATCTTATTTTCTATAAATTTGCTTAGTTGTCATGTTCTCTATAAGTTTAGTTAATTTTATTTATTTATCAAATTTTTAATATTTCTATATATTTTATATATAAATAAAACAAATTATAAGAATATATCATATTTTTAGAAAATAAGATAATTCTTGAGAATTATGTTGTTATTGAATTATGTTAT